TATACTAAAAAAAAAAAAAAGAAAAAGAAAAAAAACTTATATACAAAGCCATAAAAAATGGAAGAGGATGCATCAAAAAGTTAACTATCAAAGTTGTACTCAAAAAAAGAAGAAAAAATGTTTAAATTTACTAGTTCTCAATGACAAGCAAACTAGCTCGACCAAGACTTGGTCCAAGAGCAAATTTTTTCTTTTAATCAGCCAACAAAATGGCATTTATATTAAATAGGATTTATATTAAATAAAAGCACAAAGTGTAGTCCAACCAACCATGAACATGCCTCAGAATTCTCCCAACATGCAAAACACATGGATCCAAGCCAAAATCATGTTAATTGATCCTGTACTTGTCTTCCTTTCTTCACAGCTTCCATTTATTCATTCATTACTCTAGCACTACCTCATGGGTTATGGCACCAATCATGAAATGTGAAGTGCATTCCTTGGCTATATTTTTGAACCAAGAACAAGATTTCATGAATTTTCTACTACATGCGTACTAGCTGCCTTTTAAGGCCATTTGCAACACAAAATGCATCCAATGATTCCTTTTGACTAATTCTAGACACACACAAGTAGTATTGTCGCTTAATCTACCATCCAATTAACAGATGCAACTTGAGTAATAATATGCTTCAAAGAGAGTCAAAATGTCAATTGCCTTAGATTTCTGATTTTCCTAAGTTAAATTCTATCCCTCCTACTTATTGTGTTATTGAGTGATTATCTCATTCCTATGCCTCTTATTCTTGGCTTGAACAAGTAATTTAATCACAATATGAAATAAACACCCAAAATAACGATTATATAAATATATAATAGAAAAGAGAAAACATATATATTTACCAATCACTTGAAAGGCAAAGACTTGATGATGACCATAAAGAACGAAAATCTAATAAGCCTAATGGCATGCAGCTAAGAAAATCGTTAAGGTAGATTTCTATATGCTTCATAAAAGCATACATTCACATACTCCTTCAAACACACATGGGCAACATTTATTTTAGTTAGGCATGCACCAATGAATTTCATATACTCACTTCTATAGGATATATACTACAAGAAATTAATGATTTTATAAGTATTTTAGGCAGTCCCAAACTTTTGTAGTGAAGATTGGAAGATTTAACACATTTTCTAAAGCACATATGATATCATACACTCTATATATATACAAGGAAAAGAACAAAACTGGTGGTAGATTTAATTTCTAATAATTAATAAATAAATTGAAATGGCTTTTACAAGCCCTAATAGACATGTTTCAGAAAGGCAAAATGCATCCAAAGGGATTTGTTCCAGCAGGGAAGCATATCATGAGAGCCATTCTTGATAATTTCATCAAAATAAATGAACTCAAAGACAAATAGGGGGAAAAAAATCAATGCAAATAGTAAGATTTTCTAGTGGAACTGAGGAAGTACAGATCCACATAATGAGTATGTAAAATTTATGGTAGAAACCTTGTAGCACAAAAAGGATTTTAAAACACAAAAGGGTGAGACACAATTGACTAAAAATAGAAATGAGAAACAAAAACCAAACTTACAAAATGTCAAAATCTGTTAAATGATTAACATATATGTAGTAAAAAGAAATAATCAATTGAAGAGCTTCGTTAGTATAATTAAAAAGAAGGAGAAGAAAGAAAAATGAACATACTCGAAGCTTGAGAACTCATAAAGTCTTCCTTTTTGAGAGAAGATGACAACTGCAGCTTCAACATCACAGAGAACAGAGAGTTCAAAAGCCTTCTTAAGCAGCCCATTTCGACGCTTTGTGAAGGACACTAGTCTGCTGCATTCTCGATCCTTTTCATCACAACTTTTCCTCTCCTCATCATCTAGTTCATCATCAGAGCCACGTCAATCGGTAACCTTGCACGAGAATCAGATACATATATATATATATATATATTAGAAAAAATGACACAAATACTCACCAAAATTGAGCAAAGTCCCCAGATATCTATTGAGTAGATACGCAGTGTGTAGCTATTACTAAAGTTTCAACCTTCGCAAAGAAAAATTACAAATTTTGAAAAGATTAATGATGGCAAACCATAGGAAGGTTTTAGAAGCTCAAAGGAAGATACAAACAAGTTTTTAATAGCCTAAATTTTCTAGGAAAGCACACAAGTTTCAGCCTTTGTGAAAACTGCAAAGCAAACAAATTTTGAAGAGATCAATAATAGCAGCCCATAATCGCATAGAAAGGTTTCATCTTTCAAGGTGCAAAGGAAAGAGGAGAAACAAGGAAAACACAGAAAGAAAATCACTGGAAAAGCCCAAATTTTCTAGGAAACCAAACGGCAACCGCCCTAGAAAATTCTTGGGAACAATAGAAGGAAAAGAAGGGAAGAGTTCAGAAACCCTATGAGAGCAGAAACGCAATGGATCTACTGATTTCTCATATATCACTCCCTTTATGTACAAACCACAAAAACCCTCATGTTCATTATATCTTCTTCTGTCTTTCTTACCCACATAAAAAACGCAGAAAAATTCGTATCCTATTAAAACCCTTAGCTACCCGATGGAGGTACTCTCGAGTTTTTAGAAAATTCAGATTTTTTTGAAATGTTAACTTCAAATTTTGAGTTGGAAAAAGGAGAAGAGCATTTTATATTGTAGAGCCTATGAAAAAAGGGCAAAATCTATAGCCAGCCCTCCACCTTACTAACTATGAAAGTATCAACCCCTCAACTTATAATATAAAAAGTTTTGGCCCCTCTTTTTTTCAGCCTAAATGAAAAAGCCCAAAATGGATGACGACATCATGTGTTCATTAAAATTCCGTTTCTCATTGTCGTGTGAGCACCAACATAGCAATTTTTTGCCATCATGGATTACTATTGTGGACAATAAAAGTTAAACAAGTTGAATTAGGTGAATTTATATTGGGTCACTTTGGATTTTGGATGTATTGAGTTTGGTCATTTTGGTTTTTAAGTTAAAGGAGTAAACCCATGACTTCTCCATATGGATCTCAAATTAGATCAAGTAGATCCAACTTTTTAAAAAATTAAAACTAAAATGAAAAAATTTTAATATTTTCCACAATTTTCTTTAAAAAAATTTAAAGTTAATTAATTATTAAGTCAAAAAATTCTTTTAAATCAATATTAACACTAATAATCTAGCAAGTAATAATCATTTTATCGTATTTAATATTATTTTATGGAAAATAATTGGTATACCCTTGTTTCAACACATTTTTTGACATATTTTTTTGACACATTTTCGGTTTAATCATTAGAAATATAATATAAATACAATCAATTCAATCGATTCATGTATTTTGTGTGCATGATTGTATCATTAAACTTGTATGTCTTTAATTTTATATTAAAAAATAGTGATTTTTAATGAATGTGTCATGCAGTGTATTGAACTGGACTATGTACCAATCAATGTCCTTATTTTATACTTAAAAATTAAAATTAAAAGTATAATTAATCAAAATTTTAAATTTAAAAAAATTAATTAACTCTAGTCAAATTACTTTAGGTTGACTTGATTCAACTCTGACCAAACTCAATGGGATCTGTGTAATTTTGTTTGGGTTATATTTGATTTTGAATTGATACTTTAAAGGTTTAAACCCATGGTCCTACTCATAGCAAATGAGTTAAGTTGGATTTTTAGATTGGTTCAGTTTTATTAAGTTTAATAAATGCAAAAAACTATGTCCCTAACATGGTGGTAGTCATCATGGCAAGGAATTGCCACATTGGTGCTAACATGGCAATGGGTAACAGAATTTTAATGAGCACATGATGCTGTTATTTATTTTGGACTTTTTCATTTAGATTGAAAAGATGAGAGATTAAAACTTTCTTATTGTAAATTGAGTAAGATGGAGGGCTAGTAATGGATTTTCACCATAAAAAAGAGACCTTAACCAACCCCAAACCAGCATTAAAAGTTTTTAGGGGCCTTTATTTTAATTTTTCAAGAATAATTATTAATTTTTAGTTTTAATGAAACAAATTAAATATTTTAAATTATAAATATTAATTATTATCAATGATCAAATTTTAACTATCAATAATTTCAAAAAAATTTAATATGACCAGTTTATTTAAGGTTTCCTACTGCTCTTCGATTATATATCCTCAATTTCTTTACTGATGTTCAAAGAAGCATGGCTATGATATTATTTCCAAATCTAATTGATGAAATAGGTGTGTTTGCCTTTTCAATTTAGTGTATTTAGCATAGATGGTTTTCTAGGATTCAATTAAGGGTATGTTTGGGCTGTGGCATATGTGGTGCTTAGCTTGTTTCATGATTAACCAAGTTGAAGGTAACTTTTATTTATTTGCTTTAAAATGTCAAATTCAATTACTTAATTCTTCTAATTCAAGTTAAATTGTGTGTGACGAACCCAAACTATTTGGGTTCCTCGCAAACCCAAATTTTGGCTCATAAGGAACCCAAGGGGAAGGTTCTGACAAACCCATTTTCAAAGAGAGAAGGAGAAAGAGAAGGAGGGCTTAGATGATTGGGAAAGGAAAAGGGAGAGGGAAATAAACAATGGTAGAGGAGAAGGGAAGATGAATGATGAGAGAGAAGGAGAACTATGAAGAAGATGAAAGTAGGGGTAGACTTATATTTTTGTCTTTTAATTTGTAAATAGTTTAATGTCGCAAAATTTGACTTATCATTTTTATGTCTACATAAGCTGATTCTATGATGTGTTATTACATGTCATAAAAAATATGCCTTTCTGGAATATTTTAACAATTCAATGTTACTTAACCGATGGAAAGACTAAAATTGTACAGTTTTTGAAGTTGAGGGATTGAAAAAATGCAAAAAATAGTTGAAGGATGAAAATTGTGCAACACTATAAAGTTGAGGGACCAAAATTAACATTTAACCAAATCAAAAAATTATATAAAGAGTTTGTACTGGATATTCAATTATACTCATTCTAGTATCAGTTTTTTTCATTTGCAAACTTCATAATTAAAACTTAAACAGTTTGAGATCTGTACAGTTTAATTTTTCATTAAGAAAGAACTTCACAATCCATTCAAACTGAATTTGTCAGTGATGGTTTCGATTGGTTTGAATTTTGTATTTGGTTGCAGTTTTTTTATTCGGTTGCGAATATTTTTGGCCACTCCTACCCCAATATCATTTTTTCTTTGAGTACAATCTAGACCTAGTAACTCCTCGCATTATCCCTTTTACTAGAAGTACTAATTTTTTCAATTTTAAACATGTAATTAATGAGAGTGAGAAAAACGAAAATTGATGTTTTTATTTACGGTTGTAATGTGAAAGTATAATTAAAAAATATTAAAGTAAAATAGTTTATCACCTGAATACTTAAAAACAAAAATAAATACTCTCTAAACTACCTCATTTCAATAAACTTTTAATAAAAAAATAAAATAATTTATTTTTAAAACAAGACTAAGACTATTTCAATATTTTCCCATAGTGCATAATGTCATGACCCTTAGCATCTTCACTATATTTTTTTATGGTATCTTTGCACCATATATTATAATTACATTTAGATCAAATAGAATTATGAAGAAAATATTAGAGAGAAAAATAGTGGACTAACTAGCCACATACATCTATCATACAACATTATTTGGGGTAGTACAATAATTTCAGCCATAAAGTAATTCAGACAGTTGATATAAATAGTTTTGTTGTAGTCCCATGAACTATTCCATTTAAACCTCCAAGCACTGCTTATTTTAGGTGCAATCATGTAATGCTTTCCTTTGTTAGACTGGTGGTTGCTGTCCTGGCTTCTCACCACCACACTAATATCCAAACCAAAAGAAAGTTAGGCAATTTTTTTTTTTCTAAATAGTATTTTACAATCTCAATTAAGCTAGACTTCAAAATATGGGTAGTTAGATAAGGGGGGCCTTGATTGTAAGGCAGACTTTATCATCTAAGGGTCCAATTTTTACAGTCTAGTGTCAATTTAAGCTGTAAAACTGTGGGTTGTTTTTTAAGTAAACAAAAAAATTCCTAGATTTACAAATGAAAGGCTCACCTTTTCACATAACTTCGCATTTTCCTCTAATAACATTATTTCCTAAATTAAGACAAAAAATGTATTAATGAGACAAAAACAAGAGGGATATGAAAGGCAACCCAGCATCCAATGGTTCAATTTTTGCAATCTAGTATTAGTTTTGATTGCAAAACTGTAGTCTTTTTTTTTTTTTTAAGTAAAAAATAAACTCTAAGATCGGGAAATGAAAGGATCACCTTTTCACATAACTTTCTGTTTTCTTCTAACAACATTCTCCCCTGAAATAAGACAAAAAAGTATATTATTGAGAAAAAAACAAGAGACATTAATTGTTTAGAAGCTTAGAGCTAGTAGATTGAGGAAGTAATATATGTTTAATTCAATGAAGGGGATTCTTACCTTTGCTTTTAGTTGCTGTATATGCTCCTTACATAATTGGGCCTATAATATAGGACATAACTGATTTAGTTTGCATATTTTCATGCAAGTAAACACAATTTTCAAAGAATTGTCTAAGAATTGTACGTAGGTAGATGCATCTAGTATACTGGAAAGTTTTGGATCAATGGTGTGAGAAACGCCAATCCAAAATCTCTTACACATAGGTAGAAGGCACAATGAAGAATCTATCATAGGATACATTAAAAACTCAAATCGTACATCATGGGGGAGATCTTGGACCTTTTAAATGGTTAGAGGAATGTGGATTGCAGCTCTATCTATGAGTATAATCTAAGGAGGAGGCGAGTCTGAGGAAATGTGGCTGTTATATGCCTATAAGGGTCCAATGACAGAACAAATACCCTATACATATATAAAAAATTAAGTTCATTTGATAGCAACTTCAAACCTGATTGTCTGTGGATTTGTTTGGCAATTAATTTTGGACCGGCTGCCAACTAAATCCAATTTGCTTAAAAGAGGGATAATTAAGGACTCGATCGAGGCAATGTGCAACCTTTGTGAGGAAAATGTTGAGGACAGCAACCATCTATTTTTGCACTGTAAAATTGCTTCCCAGATTTGGTCAAATTACCATAAATGGTGGGATGTGTGCACCGCTGCAGCTAGCAATGTGCGGAAAGCTTGTGAAGCACGAGGGACTCATACTTGATGGGAAAATACAGATAGGCTGGAAACCTATATGGTTTGCAGTGGAATGGACTATTTGGAATGCTAGAAATGAAAAGCAATTTAATGGTGGCACAGTTGATGTTGACAAAATGGTTGATTCCGTGCAAGTAAAGACATATCAGTGGGTCAAAAATAGAGGAAAGGCAAGGTCTTTCTTTATGTCAGATTGGATCATCACCCCAAGGCCATGTGTTAGCATCTGAATTACTGTAGGTGGTTAGAAATTGGTTAAAAGTTTGTAATTAATTTGAGTGATTGATAACCACTTAATTTTGTGTATGAGTTTCAGTGTTCCTTGTACTTATGTAATAAAATTTTGCCATTCAAAAACAAAAAAACTTAAAACCTAATTTCCCTTCAAAATCAAAAGTCTTGTAATCATGCATTGATTCTTTAATGTGACTACTTTTAGCTTAAATGCAAATCTAAAGGTTGCAAACCTTTCTCGCCCTGATGCTTTTCAAGCTTTGTTCCAGCTGGCTATCAATCTCTTCAAGTTCCTCAACAGAACATGAGCCCAATCCTTGACCCAACAGCTTCCTGTTTAACATCAAATTTTCAAAGTAATCCTTTCACCCGGTGAGATGAAGTAACATGACAGAAGCATTAAATCATTGAACCTTTTAGAAACTTCCAGGAACTCAATCTTCTTAACCATGTTTTCTGTTTCAATCCTCAAGTGCTGCACTTTGAAATATTTTGAGGAAATCGTAAGTATTATTAGCAGCTGTAAACGTAATTTATTATAACTCATGAAGCAAGCTGTTTGATGAGGGCAATGAAGATGTAATGTAGATTATGGCTTCAGTTGTTTGTGGAGTGCCATGGCTGTTGCTTTAGGTTTTTCT